ATTTATTTACAAAAGATCAAAGTGAGCGATATTATAAAAAAATAATTCGTACCAAACGTAATTGTGTAAATATTATAATTATATATTTTTATTATAAGTTCTTTTCGGATGTGCATATCTCTGAAATTAACAAATTGTTGTTTTGAACAAAAAGCGCTGTCAATAAAATCAAGCCACAGAATCAAGAAAATATCAAAAAAATATTTGGATGTTTAAAACATAGACATGCTCTTTTACATTGTGCCTTCTATTACACTTTAATTCTCTAAATGAAAAATCCTAAGAACCTAACAATTATATCGCGATTCAACATTTGCGGATTTCAGAATTTTGAAATATTTGTATCTCGAACATAAAAGCACTTAATATTTCGCATTGAATATACGACGATTAAGACAGGTAACAGGAAGGAGAGAGAAAAAGATTCTCCAGGTCTGCACTGTAACGGTACGGAGTCTTACACGTGCGAAGTGTGAACACTTTATGGGCAGGCCGTAAACGTAGAAATGTGAAAATTTTGTTAGAATAGCGGGTATATAACGCGGGAATACCCACGCACGACTCTAATTTGTGTCACGTCGAACCTTTTCTCAGGAGGAAATGATGAGCGAGGGCGGCGACCATGAGAGTTGGGACGACGAGATGATGATGAACGAGAGTAACGAAACGCCACTGCCGGTGGTAAGGCCAATTAACATTAAATGTGACTCTCCTTGTTTCTCTTCGATCGCGGATGTATGTGCATACACGTAATTAAATCAAATATCTCTTAAGAGAGGTGTCGTTCTACTTTCTCTTATCTCGGATTAGACTATACCCGCGCGAATATTTCATTTAACGAGTTTGACTTTCCTACTTTTTCCAGTTGTCCTACATGTCCAAGGATGACAGTGTGTCTGAAGAAAAGAAAGGTACGATCTATGCATAATAACTCGCAAATATATTTAGGTCTTTCTCCACTTTCGGAAAGTTGTGTCTAAGAATTGTTTCAACAAAATCTAAAATGATGAGTCTACAAGTGTCGAACGAGTGTTAGTATTAAAATAATTGCTTGTTCTACTTGAGAAATTTTCATAACGAATATAAAAACGGATAAAGATACTTTTTTATAATTTTTTACCCTTCTTAAAAAGCATGAAGAAGTCATTTGGGATTTAAAGAAAAAGAAACAAAAAAAAACAAGAAGAAACGTTTAATTTGAAATATTAACATGCTCATTTTATCATCTTAATTATTCAAGAATAACTTATTGTATTTATATAATTAGTATAAAATAATAAAAATAATATAATATACCAAAGAATATCATTTACAAAAGACTTTTGAAGACATAAGTACGAATGAATCCATATTCTGTTAGTTTTGTTCTGTTTTGCCCCTTCTAAATATCTTTTGTCATGATATATCTATATAATTGATATAAAAAAGATTGAATATTGTTTTCCCAATGATTTCAATTTCTTTATGAATCCATGCAATTCTATGCATATCAATATGTTAACTAAATATCGACTGTTGCAGCAGCTACAACTCCATCAAACTCCAACGCCACAAATCCTTCGATTCCCGAACAATTTCGAGACGTAATAAAGATGAACGATTACCTGACGACGGGGCGCCGACAAGAATTCTGGGAGGAACCATTTACGCGACGCGTCATGGACGCCATTAAAAGCAAAGAACTAGAGATGAAGACTGCCGCCGAGATTCTCGGCGTCTCGTACGGCACCCTCTACGGCAGATACCGCGATAGTTATGGTTGCCTTAAACATCCGTACAGGTAACGAACAGCATGTAAACCAAAATTGAGAAACTTTGTATAATGTATAGTCAAGGACCCTCGACTGGGGGTCTTACGTACTTTATATTAAAAATACATAAGGAAATCCAAGTTAAAACAGTTGAAAAACAAATTAGAAGAAAAAAACGATAGGGTTATTCGTTAAAAGGCTTACGATGATATCTCACCAGACGATATATATTTTCAGAGTAAGGGATTTTTGGTCTGAGCCGGGTCCTGCGGAAGTATTGGCGAAATTACGGCGGAAGGAGATAACATTGTTCCGAGCTGCCGAGTTCCTCAATGTCACCGTCCACACGCTCGCGACTTATTTGTCAACGCTGCAGGGTCCGGATAGAATCTCGTTAGCGGGCGATCTCAGCGTAGCGTCCAGCGGTAGCATCGACAGCGGCAGCAACAACAACGCAACGGAGTCAACGGCGACGGAGAACAGCGATTCCATGAACGACATTCTGCAAAAGATCAATGCGAACGTTGCGACCGCGGCGACATTGACCACGACCACGCCGCCGATCAAGCGTGAGGTCGGTAATTATATCGAGGTACAGAATGTCGCGGTACAGAAAGCCGCGACCTCAGTATTGGAGAACAATCCGGATATTACGATCGTCAAGACAGAGAATATGCTGCGTAAGCGCGACTACTCGAAGATGTCTAGCACAGAGAACAACAACGCGAAGCTGATGAGCGGCGGCGGCGTCAGTGAAATCAGCCAGCAGCAGCAGCAACAGCAACAGCAGCAACAGCAAAAACTTGCCGACCCGTTGTCATTAAATAATGATAACAGCAAACCCTAACTATTCAGACCCTACCTGACACCTACGGCGAATCATCATCATCATCATCACCCACGCAGCGTGGCACCGAGTGGCGCCAGTTATAGATCCGATCTGCAATGCCCGCGCAGTTTCTATTCCAATGTATTTACTCGCTTTCTCACGAATTTTCATTTAAAGTAGACAAAATTGAGTAGAGGAGGAGCGGCGCTGGACATCGCTGTTCTGCGCGCGTCCGATCCCGCAAGAATAATCTCAGACAATCTCGCGTGCGAATGTTCGCAATTGACGACGGCCCGTGGTTGCGTTGAGACGGACAAAGAGGGAATTTTTTGGCAAATTTTCTGCCTTCCGATTTCCGCGCGCGACCACGGTCCATGTATTTTTCACGTATTAGAAAGAATACCGTCGAAACCTGCCCTTAGCGAAATTAGTAATCAGCAACGCGAGTTGACATAAAATTCCTCTCGTTTTAACTTGAAATTTGGCCCGCTTTTGAGCCACATAGGCCGATAGCGCTTATTATGCGCACGACCTTGGCCTTTGTGAAAAGAAAAATGAAAAAACAAAAGAAGCAACAAAAAGGAAAAAGCGTATAATAAAAAGTTCAATCGAAGTTCCTTTTGAATAACGATGTAGAGTGTATTATTGCAACAAAGAATGCCTATTTTCTGCCGCATGTGTCTGTATGGTAAAGAGCGACAATATATTCACCAAGTAGATCCACGTCATAGTAATGCACACCACAGAGAGGAAGAGAGAAAGGAAAAGAAAGGGGGAGAAAGAGAGAGACGGAGAAAAAAAAAACGAAAAGAACACAAAGTTGAGTAATGGTCCTTCGACGTAGATCTGTTCCTTATCGTTGTTAGAATTGCATTATTAGGATTTCAGTTAATGCTCGTATATGAATTCGAAAATTTAAATCATAAAGCATGTACTATTGGAAAAGATGTCCATTCAATATACGATATATAATACAGTGTGTAATACATACGCAGTGAAAGACCTGAGAAAGACGGCGATTGTAGATAGTATTCTCAGCCATTTGTATTTAGAAAAGTATTTAGAAATCGAATGAGCGAGCGAGCAAAAGAAATAAAGAGACTGAGTGAACGAAAGAATGAGTGAAAATCGTCACTTGGTCGCACATGTCCAATAGTAAATCGTTTATGATTTAAATATATTTTCGTGATAAAAGCCTTAACATTAGTATTCTGGCTTCTCTGATTAATCAATGCACTGACAAGATTGTACGCATATTCTTTTGTTATGTTACTGATATTTTTTCAATGATATTTACAGGGTCTCATAAGTCGCGAATTATTTCTCGTGAACTGAAAAATTGAGTAGAAAAATGTTCTATCATTTTGTAAGTTTCTTAATTATTAATGAAAAATTAATTATTAAAAATTTACTACTAAACGTGTACGTAATGATAAAAGCACATGACATGAGATGAAACAGTTCAGCATTACGTATTATTTGTTATCACCGTATTACAGAATACATCTCGCTCCTAGCAATCGCGAAAATAGTCTTTACTTGCGGATGCCCATTTATTCATAAATCTTCGTTATGTTTTTATTAATTATTGTGAAAATTGGAAAATCAAAAAATTTTTCTACTCAAGGTTTAACGTACTTTAGTTCAGGAGAAATAATCCGCAAGTTATGAGACATCCTGTAAAATGACTAAGCTCGGTTTTAAAAAAAGCAGCCAAATGCGATTAAAGCAAAGGCACATTGCAATTGATAGTGATTTTCTAGCGGAAACTTAGAAAATTGCAGCAATTGCCTTTTTCTTTTGAATATTCGCAACTTTATCGGAATAGTAGTTACGCGAAAAAATTATAATGATAGGACCATTCTATTTTTTTTTGACTTTTACCAGTTTATACCAGTATGTATGCGTGTAGCAGCGCTTTTTATAAATGATCTTTACTACTTATGTATATAAGTTATTTTCTTTCTTTTTCTTCTTTTAGGAATAAATATTTTTAACGGCTTTTATTGGAACGATAATAGTCGATTGATATAAAAAATGATTCGGTTAATACAAATCGGAAATTCGTCCATTGCAAATTAATATTCGTGCAATTCATATAGTGATTCGTGTGAAATTAATATTATTTGGCATGAAATGCCCAAGTACAAAAAATACGAAAATAAGAAGGAAGAATGTTTTATATTGTGCAATTGAATTTTACTTATAAAAAGCAAGGAGAACAATATCGATATGATATCCGCAGACAATTATTATAATAACAGATGTATCGTTGTTCCCCATATTTATATAATTCGCGTTTAATTTACTTTTTTTGTAAGCTGTCATAGGCGCGGTGTTTATTTTAAGTTAGATAAACAAATGGGAACCTTCCCCGGAAAGGGACAGCGCTAGATATATATATAT